CAGGTATTGGCTGAAGAAAAATGAATATTCAAGCATACCCATTTTCATCTCCCAGGCCTCTCTATGTTCTGGAAGCCTCCAGAATGTAGGTGGGGGGGGGGGAATCAAACCTGCAGCCTGTTAAATCTAGAACAGCATAAAGAATCGATAGCTTCTCCAATATTTACAGAGGAGCCAAGAAAACTAAATTTACCTAGCATCCTATACAAGGAGGCTGCCTACATCTATTTAACCTCATATTTCCTGCAATTCTTTATATCTATCTGCAATTCATCTGTATTGAGAAGATTTGGAGTTGAATGTGTCAAAGGACTGTCTGCCCCGTCTCTAGTTCCTATGACTCTTTTTGGAGTAACACTTGGGAAGAGACAGAAAAACATGAGCAGCAATTGCTAGACCAGTCTTTCTCAACCTTTGTGAGACAGAGGAACCCCTTAAGATAACTTTCAAGTCTCGGGGAACCCCTGATAAAAATTACTATATCTACAACTCATGATATATTAATGTGATGATCAGTGGGAAGAATGTTCCTTATACATGTGGTTACTGGGAAGAATTACCCCCTTACAGATAACTATAAAGATCAATGGTGTCAGTGGGAACTTATCTGAGATGCAGAAATTGTTAATTGCTAAAGGAACCCCTAGCAACCTCTGGAGGAACCCTGGTTGAGAAACCCTGTGCTAGGCTGTCCTAAGACAAGCCTCAAAATGCTGTGTCAACTCAATGTAATGGAGGCCCCTTGTATTAAATATTTATTTCAAAATTAAGATTTTTTTTTCCTCACAAATAATAACAAAAATTGAACTAAAAGATCATTTTATAAACAATAACAAAGTGAATAAAGTTGACCAAAAACCAATATAGGGCATCTTTCAAAATCGCCTGGAAAAACACCTGCAGTATATGGATTAATACCACACTACTAAATTCACTCTGGACCCAGCCAAGTTAATCAATCCTGGACTTCTGAGAGCCAGACGGTTTTCAGTTATAAAGTCAGTTGTGACCTTGTTTTAACCCTTTGATTGCATTGATATATTACCTACATCATTGACCACCCAGGATAGCGTACACCCATGATGAATGTATTAGTTATTTTTCACAAAATGTTAGAGATAGAGCCTGCATAGATGACATTTAATTTGCAAACTTGTATACATAAACAATTACTATTTAAAAAAAAAAATAATTTTTTTAAATCTTGTGTTGTATGTCAGAGCTGATGGTCTCCTGCAGCCTCTTTGCTACCACCTTCTGTTTAAACGCACTCTAGTGATTTTTTGCATGGCATTTCTCAGGGCAGTTTCCTGATGGCGACAACAGCGGACCATGTCTGTGTAATGTCTGTTAAAAACCACTCATTAGAAGCCTGTGTGACAGCACAGGAGCACACCTTGGAGATATGGTCCTTCATGGCTGGATGACCAGGTATTATTTTAATCTGTTTATTTATTCTGAAAAAGAATAAGAAATTGACTTTTGAAGTTACCGTAAATTGACAGTTTATATGAGATTTTAGTGATTGGGTTTGTATCTACTTGAATGCATTAAAAGCCTTCATTCTATGTAGAGTTTGTAATTATAAAAAGTACCTGAAATAAATAAAAATAAATAAATTACTTCCCATAGCTGCTCATTACATATGCAGTCTGTGTACTTTTTCAAAATTGTTCTGACAGTGGGACGATCAGCACTGTATCAATTAATATTTTTTCATGCCATGAGCCTACTGAAAAGAGGAGAAAATAGACCGAACATCTCATGTTAAAGTGAAGCTATGCCCAGGCTAGAGGCATGGGTGTATTTTAAACAAACAATCACTGACCTCTGTAGCTGCTCGAACTGTGGAGTAATTTATCCTCAAAGATCACAACAATAACTTTGAAGACTAATTTCAGTCAACAGCTTCTGGTGCACTTTTACATTAGAGGGCTGGCAGGCTGCCAAGTCCATGCTGCCATATAAAATAAGGGGAGAGGAGCAGAGATTTTTGTGCCACTGTTATGAACTTTGAAGATTAAATTCTTCACAGTGCCTAAGATTATGACCCTTGCAAGTCTTTGCCTCCTCCCTACCTGTTAACTGGTACTGTTGTCATCTTTGAGGATGATTTACTCCATAGTGCATACAGCTACAGAGGTCAATGAGGGTATATTTTTAAGGGCTCAATCGCATGCGCGGCAACTGCTCTGAAAGGCGGTCCATGGTGGATTGCATTTCAGAGGCATTTGACAGGTAGGGAGGAAGAGATAGACTTGTATGGGTCATGTTCGGCAGGCATTACCTGTTTAATGGCTGTCTGTGGAGCCATAATCATTTCATATTAGGCTTTACTCAATGTTCCCTTACAGTGACCAAATATTGGAATATATTTTCCTGAGAACAATAAGTAGAGATGGAAAATTCCCCAAAATTTCAGCAAAAAATTGATTTTATTGAAGTTTCATCATTTTGATGAATTGCATTGGTGTCAATGAGGAAGACGACCCAATGTTTGCAGCGTCATTTGTACAGCCATGAGTGGCTACATGTCTATGTTCAAGTGTGCAGTTGGGGGACTGGTAAAACTAGGGCTAAACCAACTGGCTTTGCTTCCCCTCTGGCAGCACATGGGAGTGAACCCAATGGATAAATAAACTTTACACCAAGTTTTTTTTTTACCCTTTTAACCTCCCATATGTGGGTCTAATCTACCACTTCCCATCCCCAAATTGCTCTATTTACCTACATTTCACTCTAAGATCAGCAGCATTATTTACGATCCGTCCACTGGTGTCTTGATCCAACATCTGCCCATAGAAGTCTATGGGGCCAAACTACACAAGCGCAGACTTTGGATCAAGAAGCCAGTGGAAGGATACACCCTTCATGGAAAGATTTGGAAAGTATAGAGATGTGGAGTGGGTGGGTTGGGTATTCTAGGTCTATTTGGGATGGGGGGGTGAGAGGTCATTCTATACCTACTTGGGGGGGAGGTTATTCTATACCTACTTTGGGGGGGGGGGTAAAGAAATTTAAATCACAGGTGCACTTCATCAGGTCCACTTTAAATTAAAGCTGACTTGCAGTACTGGTCTACCCCCTATGGAAAATGCAATAAAATGCAGCAAGATGTACGGAATCCTTGAAGATGATCTCGTTCCTTTGATGTTACATATTTTAAGGTTTGCTAGATTTACAGGATAATGCAGCTCTTAGGAATGGTATCTGTTGAAAGTGGGCCGTGTAATTAAAGGATTTGTTAACCAGCTTACAGTGGTGTAATGCTACGTGAGTCAGCAGGTAAGGGAGCTTATACAGTACATGCTTGTGCAGATTTGTATCTGTAGCGTGAAACTTTAATGGCTGTCTGTGGAGCCAGGATCATTTCATAGTAGGCTTTACCCAATGTTCCCTACAGTGACCAAATATTGGAATATATTTTCCTGAGAGCAACAAGTAGAGATGGAAAATTCCCCAAAATTTTAGCAAAATTTAGATTTTGTTGAAGTTTCATCATTTTGATGAATTGCATTGGTGTCAATGAGGAAGACAAAAATAAATTTTGGTGGTCTTAACTGAAGTCTGGCCAACCTTTATTATTAATAATAATAATAATAATAATAACTTAGGTGTTCCCCTCTCTGTAAATGCATGCTTAAATCTGAAGCATGGGTGCAGAGAAATACAGTCCCTTATTAAATACATTAAAAACATCAACAATTTTAAACCAAGTTCAGATATGTGTGGGGCCGGTTCCAGTGCGATTTGTAAATGGAGTCTGGTGTGGTTTCGTTCAGTTGTTCAGGTGCAATTCAAGTGCAAATTTTTAAAGTGTGAGGCCTCATATGTGCAGAAAAACTAATGGAAACAGAGGTGCAGTTTTCACTTGTAGAGACATTTTCCTGCACGCCTACAGTTTTATACACGTTGCAGATTCCTGCGCAGAAAAAATCTGCACATGATACTAGTGTTGCGGTGTGAACAGGGCGGTGTGAACAGGGCACATAGAGAACAATTGGGTTTGTTGTGCTCTTGCAGAGCATGTGCAGAAAAACTGACGTCTCTGCACCCTGGTGTGAACAAGCCCTAAATCACTTGAAATCGCAGCAGAACTGGGATGAAAATTGTATCTGACTTTTTATAAAACCATACATATGTGAACTGGCTCCATAGAAAGCTGGTTTGGTTCACATGTCATGCATATCGGATTCGCATATATGTGAACTGGGGCTTAAAATTATCATTACTAATATATTCCCATATTTATTATTGCTATTATGCTATCATTTTTGTTTTGTTTTCATTACATACCTGTCAGGAACTATAAACCAGGCGGAGACAGAAAGTGCAGTTAAAATCACACCTTTAATGAAATATCAAATATAACATAGATCAGGAATGTAGTCAAAACAGAAGCCAGGGAATGGATACCAGTGCGGGTAATCAGATGAGCCAGGGTCAGGAAACCAGAATCAGCATAGTCAGGAGCCAAAAATCAGGAACAGTAATCAGAAGAGAAGTCAGCCAGACCAAGTTGTATACAGGAACACAGACAGGAACGCACTGGAGATCATAGACCATTCTAGGGCAAGGAGGAAATGAGCTAAGCTGCTAAAATAGAAAAAAGGGTTGGCTGTAGGCTGGACTAATAAACAGGTATTGGTATCCAGGTAAGTCACTGTGGACACAACAAGTGTCTGGTGATTAGCAAACAGCTGAGCAGATTTGAGCAGGAGCCCAGCCCTGACAATACCGTACTTTAGACCCAGAGATGTAATCACTGCCACACTATGAAAACATCATAGCACCTTGCTTCAGTACTCCCTATGAAGATCCCTAAGCCCTGTGCTGGCAGTTGAGAAGTAATATTAGGTGTAGTGTCCTTTATGTTATGCCACTGTGAGATGGGGAAACAGCCCTCATTGTTTGAACACTGTTTGTGTGGAAGTAAATTAATGTTTTGACTGACATTCTGCGGTTTAGCCACAAGATGTCACTGTTCTTCTAACACAGCCTCAGACTGCATAGATATTTGTATATTCATGAAGAGGAGGGTTTTTTTTTTTTTTTGCACACAGAGCTGGAGAGAACAGGAAGGAGAGAGGAAAGCCATTATTTGGAGCATGGTGAATAAGGGGCCCTGTGAGCTGAGAATCTGGTGACATCCAGGTATGAAAGCGTCCCTCCGTAACCAGAGCTGCAGCTAAGTGAAGCTGATGAGATTGCTGCCAGGAAGCTGATGAGATTGCTGCCAGGAATGCTGATAAGATTGCTGCCAGGAAGGCTGATGAGAGCAGAGGAACTAAGCAACAATACAGCGAGACCGCATGCTTGTTGGAGAGACATTTGTTCTGTTCAGACTCACCAGCAGATGGAAAGCAGACCCGGGTTGGTAAGATTGTGCACGCACCTCATTTCAGTGTTGGCGCCTAGAGACTGAGTCGAGGCCTATAGTTAGTTAGTTAGGGTCTCTGTTTGTGTCAGGCCACAAGTGTTATTACTGATCATTGGAAGTACTCCATAACTTAAAGTGACATTTCACATTGGAGAGCTCATAACATCCCACAAACTCAAGCCAGACTGGCGTTTTGCTCAGAAGGAATACTCAGGCACGTGCTACAGGACCAGTTATGGGAGAGGGAATACTGTAGATTTGTGTAAGATTGTAGCTGCTGTGCTGCACTGCAGGCTAGCCCATACCGTACACCCATACACTGATTCCTGCTCTTTTAGGGTACTAACAGGTAAGGTGTGGCAGCTTAGTTGTTCCCGCCAGTAGGTAAATTACTTCACTTTCTACCTTCATCCATCAAAAGGCGCCGTGCTGTGCAGCACAAGGGTCTCAGCCTTTGGGCTGGGTGTCTGTAAATTAATTTTATGTTTCCAGCATTTGTGGTTGTGTTTATTTGCCACATCTAAGTAAAATTCTGTTGTGCCAAAAGCTGGTGTTGGGGTTGCTTTCCTCATTCGTGACTTCACTGTATCCTGGGGAGCCCACCTCCATACACGGCTTACACCACTCCTCTGGTGATGTACATAGTAGGTGAAGTCTATGACCTTTTAATACCAGTGGTGGATGGGGCTTGTCAGTTTGTGTATGGAAACAGGTCACCCCTGACCAACATCATGTAGGTCTGTGGCATGAACACAAGAATGGGAAGGAAAGCTCTCAGCAGGGCTGGACTACCAGGTGGCCTAAATGTGGACTCACATAGGAGAAGGTGGAAGAACCTTGATGCCCCTGACTTTCACTAAACAGGTCCGTGTCTTGGTTTTATTTTAGGCCTCAGGGCCTGGGACTAGGAGAAAACTTTATGTGGGGAACTCACTAGAGACAACTGGGAAGATAGCTAGACACTAAGGTTGTATGTTTTGGCATTGGAGTGTTCTGCACTGAGTTGGTGTGTAAGAAGGAAGAGGTAAAATTATATGCCAAGTTTGTTACAGTAAAGTGTTGAAAAAGCAACTCGTCTGGACAGTCTTTCTTCAGGGTAATAGGCCTCAGGCCCGGGAACATGTGAGGAGACAGTCCTCGGGCCAGGAGTGTGACTGACACAATATGGTGGAGTATCTCCAAAAAGATAGGAATGATGAGTATCCTGTCTAGAGAAGGAGTGGGGCATGACCCAGCATGATGGGAACCATTGTCCAATCCAGGTCTCCTTCAAGCCTGAATGAGTGGGCTTCTTAGGCAGACTGCATTTGCATGCAAACCACCCTAGATAATGCCCACATGTGATCTTCAGCCTCCATGATTAAAACAACTGAAATCCGCTGATTAAAAGGGGCCAGGTACAGTCAGGCTGAGGAGGAATGATTTAGATACCGGACATCCTCCAGCCAGGAAATGAGGCAGGCTCAATCTCACTTGCTGTAGCTTCTATTGTACACTGTGAGATGCTCACATTGTGCAGTGAAATCAGAGTAAGCAATTCCAGTACAGAAGAGGAACCTGTACAACTGTGAAAGACTGAATGGAAGTCTAAAGTTTGGTGTTTAGGATATAGTCTATATACTGTATAAAATACATACACTCACAGACCACTTTATTAGGTACACCTTGCTAGTGACAAGAAAATATCTCCCACACCCATTACTCCACTACCAGCCTGGACCATTGATACAAGGCAGGATGGAGCCACCCTTTCATGTTTACACCAAATTCGCACCCTACCATCCAAATGTCGCAGCAAACAGTCTGTTCATTCTCCTCTGACATCAGTAAGGCATTTTATGTCCACACAACTGCTGCTCACTGGATATTTTTCTCGGACCATTCTCTGTAAACACTAGAGATGTTTGGGCATGAAAATCCCACTAGATCAGTAGTTTTTTAAATACTCAGACCAGCCCGTCTGATACCCACAACCATGCCAGCAACCAGTCTGTCCATTCTTCTCTGACATCAGTAAGGCATTTTATGTCCACACAACTGCTGCTCACTGGATATGTTCTTTTTCTCGGACCATTCTCTGTAAACCCTAGAGATGTTTGGGCATGAAAATCCCACTAGATAAGCAGTTTTTTAAATACTCAGACCAGCCCGTCTGATACCCACAACCATGCCACGTTCAAAGTCACTTAAATCCCCTTTTTATCCCCATTCTCTTGCTTGGTTTGAACTTCAGCAAGCCATATTTACCACGTCTACGTGCCTATATGCATTGAGTTGCTACCATGTGATGTGCTGATTTGTTTTACCAAGCAATTGAACAGGTATACCTAGCAAAGTGGCTGGTGAGTGTATATGTAGGCAGGGGCGGACTGACAACTCATGGGGCCCCCAGGCAGTAGGGGATCATGGGGATCCTGTGTCCTTGCCCAAACTCAAAAAAGCCTATGAAAAAGGTACCAGGGGCATCTCATGGGGCCCCCTACTGGCCCCGGGCCCTGAGGCAGTGCCTGAGTTTCCAAATGGTCAGTCCACCCCTGTATAAAGGTAGCCATGTTTTCACTGCATAATGCTTCCTAGTTAAGGCACCCGAGTACCTTAACTATCTCTAACCAGCATGCCTGACTCCTCTAACTTCATACTAATGTGTACAAGGCACTGACTATTGGTGCAGATCTTGGTAACGGTAGTGGGAGCACTGTGCTTTAAACATTCCACATGGGGTTGTTGTCATAAAAGAATGTCTGCTGTCAGGGAATACGTCATTAGCTCATGTACGTGTTTACATCGATGCGGGGAAGCATTGGCATATACCCAAGCATTATTCATTTTTATGGCCTGCTTTATGTACCACCTAGAAGAATCTGGCAGGATCATGTGACCTGATTTTAGGAGCTCATTTTATGGCATGTTCACAATTTATCTTTGTGGGTGGAGGTTTTTTATTGCAGGTACCGGGGCACAAGCTATGCAATCACAGGGACCATTGATTATATAGCTGCATGTTTAGACAAGAGCCAAGTTATTGTGTCCGTCTACTGAAGGTGCTCACCTTATGACATACAACTCTAGGAAAGTTCTTGCAGAAGTTTCCTTGTGAAGATACCATATCAATGAATTGTGCTCTTGACCATTTAAAGGGATTCCTCTTGAATTGGACAGTGTCCCCTTTAAGCGCCTAGGCTGGTTGCTTCAAATATAGTTTTTTAGGGACCTTAATTAAACAGCAGTTGTAGCATCACCACACCAGATCATCATCTTCACATGTTAATTATTGGTTCGCTTGTGCCTTTTCGATATTGTATGTTCTGTAACCACTCCCCTACTGATCTGCAATTGTCTGTGTCACATGTATAAGTCCTTTGCACAGCCAACATCTGCAATTATGCTCAGTACGTAAATTTCAACCACTAATTAGGCAAAGCAAGCTTGGGACTTGCAAAAGTCAAGAGTACATGGACTTAAAATAAAATGGACTGCTTTTTGATGGCTTCTGCAAAACTAGAAGGAAGGATGGACATCTAGGCTGGAAAAAAAACACCTTCAAGCATACATGTTATGGAGTACCATATTGCTGAAACTCTCTAAGGAGATTACAAAAGAAATGTGGTGTCTCTAATGGTGGCCATACACTTGTAGAATTTCATTTGAATGTGAAAGCTCGTCCAACCATTTGATGGTGCCTTCATGGACTCGATTAATTTTGAATGACTTTTTGATTGAGTACCATGTCAATGTCTTGATTACTTTTGGGTTAACTTTAACAATTGCATGTACATAAGACTAGTTAAAATATTTCTAGGCCAGCAGCAAATTCAACAATTAGAAATTTGTTTGTTCCTATTCGATTCAACAAAAAATATTCCAACCTTGTCCTTTTTTCTTCTGTTACTCTGGCCAAAACAGATTGATGCATCATTTCAAAATGAACATTCTGAAAAAAAAACAATTTTCTAATGAATTTCTACAGGTTTAAGCCCAGTTTAAGAGTATAAAAATATCTGTCTTCAAACCCAAATGAATGTATGGTGTTCACCTTTTAGGTTGGGATGGAAATCATAATTATGTGTATCACAGCAAAGAGACATTAAAAGACCTGTATATATACTGCAAGTGAAGTTCTCAATCCAGTTGTCATAGGCAGTCTTCATGGATGGACATCAGATTGCTGGTTAAGCCTAAGTTCACACTATGGATCACACATGTGAATCGCACAGGAACCACCCCGCATGCGATTCTGTGTAGTGCAATTTGAGCCCATTCATTGTGAATGGGCTCCAGTCGCACCACATTGCACCAAAGAAGTGTAGGCACCATTTTTTGAGCTGCACTAGAACTGGATTGCATGGTTGTTTTTTATCATGTGATCTGATTCAGGCAAATGCATTGTGTTTGCGACCTGCTTTTGGGGTGTCGTTTGAACATTGAATTGACACCTGCAGCAAATCGCAAAACACAATGCATTTGCAGTGCGGTGCAGGAAACACACAGGGTTTGAAGCGTTTTCCCACACTGCCCTAGTATGAACCACGGCTAAAGGAATTAAATGACCTCTATGAGCAGCAGTAAAGCCATTCAAAATGGACCTACATGGAGAAGGCTCACCTGATTAAAATGCAAGTGAACCAAAACCACAACACTAAATAGAATGATCTCCTCACCCAACTGAAGGTACAGAGGAACTATCCAAGGTTTCAAAGGAATTGTTTTAGATCTTTCTAAAAAAATTGGTTCAAATAGGTTTTCAATATTTTTTTTGTAAGTGGGGTCTCCAGAACTGGAGACAGGATTCTAAATGAGGTTTAAAGTAATTCTAAAGGCTTAAATATTTTTTTTTTTAATAACAAGCATGTCTATACTTACCTGCTGTGTGCAGTGGTTTTGCACAGAGCAGCCCAGATCCACCTATTCTCGGGTCCCCTGCCAGTGTTCCTGGGCCCTCCCTCTTGTCAGTGCCCCCACAGCAAGCAGCTTGCTATTGGGTCACCC